ATATCAAGCTGTATTACAAAGCCGCTATTCTCAAAACTGCCTGGTACTGGCACAAGAACAGACATACAAATCAATGGAATAGAATAGAGAGCCCCGAAATCGACCCGAACCAGTATGCTCAATTAATATTTGACAAAGGAGGCAAGAACATACGATGGAGTCAAGACAGTCTCTTCAATAAATGGTGCTGGAAAAATTGGACAGACACATGCAGAAAAAATGAAACTAGACCGCCAACTTACACCATACACAAAAATAAACTCAAAATGGATAAAGGACTTAAATGTAAGACAGGAAACCATAAAAATACTAGAGGAATCCAAAGGCAACAAAATCTCAGACATATGCTGAAGCAATTTCTTCACCGATACAGCTCATAGGGCATTGGAAACTAAAGAGAAAATAAACAAGTGGGACTACATCAAAATAAAAAGCTTCTGCACAGCAAAAGAAACCATCAACAAAACAACAAGAAAGCCCACTGCATGGGAGAAAATATTTGCCAATGTTGTCGCTGATAAGGGTTTAATCTCCAACATTTATAGGGAACTCATACAACTCAACAAAAGGAAGATAAACAATCCAATTAAAAAATGGGCAAAGGACCTAAATAGACACTTTTCAAAAAAGGACATTCAGAAAGCCAAGAGACATATGAAAACATGCTCAAAGTCACTAATCATCTGAGAGATGCAAATCAAAACAACAATGATGTATCATCTCACACCTGTCAGAATGGCTATCATCAACAAATCAACAAACGACAAGTGCTGGAAAGGATGCGGAGAAAAGGTAACACTCGTGCACTGCTGGTGGGAATGCAGACTGGTGCAGCCACTATGGAAGACAGTATGGAGTGTCCTCAAAAGTTAAAAATGGAACTCCCATTTGACCCAGTGATTCCACTTCTAGGAATATATCCCAAGAAACCAGAAACACCAATCAGAAAGGATATATGCATCCCTATGTTCATAGCAGCACAATTTACCATAGCTAAGATTTGGAAACAGCCTAAGTGCCCATCAGCAGATGAATGGATTAGAAAACTGTGGTACATCTACACAATGGAATACTATGCTGCTGTAAAAAAGAAGGAATTCTTACCATTTGCAACAGCATGGATGGAACTGGAGAGCATTATGCAAAATGAAA